ACTTAATTCATATGTTACATATCCATTTGTAGACTTAAAGACATCAGCATCATTTGCATTCACCTGAGGATAACAAAAAATATTATTTATCTCTGCTTATTTGCAATTGGTCACCTATTCAATTCAGTAAACTATTTCACAACAGCCGAGTTTAACAATTTTTTTTTCCAGAAATCAGCAATATTTCTCATAGATTTACATTTAAATTGGTAGCCTGAATAATGCTTACCAAGTATAGTGAGACAATTTGATTAGATTTTGTCATAAGGTTAAAAATTTGTGCAAAATTTTGTATGGAATTACATAGAAAGCAAAACAAGGTCTCATATCTTAGCAGCAAGGAAAACCTACGACTGCTTTATATTTCAGGGATTTCTTAAATTTATTTCATTTCACATCAAAATCAGACAAAAAATATATCATTAGATTATAAATAGATTATACATGCCTATGAACTATTTTTATTTTAAATGTACTTTGAATTTGAAATTCCCCACCTGTCCAATGGCTGTTTGTTCAGTTGGGTTATCTGTAACCTTAAAACTGTAGCTTTTGTTGACGAACTCTGGGTTGTTGTCATTGACATCAGTTAGGTTTACTGTCAAAGAAGATCTGCTACTGATTTTTCTCTCTGCTGTTTTGCTTTCTTGTGCATAAACCTAGATTAAAACAATCAAATAAAGTATATCAGAGGAGGTTACAAAACTGTTCCTTTGTTGTCAAAACAACTTACTAAAAATTTTTACACAAAAGAAAAAAACCAAAGGAAATGGAAAAAAAAAAAACATCTTGCACTACAACCTAACCCCAATAATAAACCCTATAAGAACTGCCAACTTCATTAATTGAAAAATGATGAAAATAAAAGAGTTTATTAGATCATTACTATTAAATTTTTTTGGCCAGAGGGAGGGACAGGGTCTACTTACTATACAGTTAAATTGCCGAGTTTTCTCCATATCCAACTGTGTACTGTTTTTAACAATAATACTCCCAGCTTGGTTAATTTCAAAAGATCCGTTGCAGTTCTCCAATTTATATACAAACTCAGCATTTGGTCCCTATTTGTTAGAATGGAATATATACTCACTATTAATGAAACGCAACACCCTTATTTTAGGGTGAAAATTATATACAGGTTATAACTATGTACCAAAAAAGTTAGCACATCTTTTGCTTAGCCAAATCAGTTATGGTTGAATGATTTTCTTTCCATTACGGAAGTTGCTTTTTAGCCCTCTTAACAGAAATCAAAATTTTGCATTTTTAATAAAATTTTTAACAATATTTTGGGTTTTCAAGGTTTTGAAGCTGTTAATTCCAACCCTTACTTTACTGTTTTTTTTTTTCATCTTCTTTGCAAAACTAATTCTGACATCCTGTCTATTTCAATAAAAAAATTTGCTCCCACTATATGTGTATTAAGTTTAATGATTTTTTGAAAAATTTATGCAATTTTTCTATATGATCATTACCTCCCCCCAAACCCCTGCCATGGACCTATGGCCAAAAATTTCACAATTTTGGTAGAGGCCTCACTGCAATTACAATTATGCAAAAACTTACGTGCTAAATTCTGGAAGTAAAGAACATTCTTAAATTAAGATACATGTATATGATTTTTTTGTTATTTCAGCCCCACCCCTTAGGTCCCACGGAGGCATGGACCCTAAAATTCACAATTTTTGTTCCCCTTTACGAACATATACCCTAATTGCCAAAATTGGGTAAAATTAGTTCAGTGGTTGGTTTCAAAGAATCTGAAAAAGTTCAGATGTTCACACATGATGACAGACAAAAATCAGATAGCAACAGTTTTAATGAGGGACTCCTGACAGTTGATCTTTAAATCAAAATCATCATGATAATTGCTTTAGCAGCAAGAATGAAAGCTATCAATGCTTTCTGCATTAGAATTAATTGATTACTGAACTTTATGATATACAGTAGGCACTTACTTCATCAGCATCTGTGGCTTTAACCCATGTGACAACCTGCCCATTCTTCATGTTTTCTGGAATGGAGGCAGTATAGCTAGCCTGAGACATGACTGGGGCATTATCATTGACATCAGTAATGCTGATCTCTACCATAGCAATGTCACGACGAAATTCAGGTTTATCCACCTGGTATGCCTAAAAATTAAATGAAAGGCCTATTAGTTTTGATTTTATAAAGTTCCCCAGAAATTTTGGCATTTATTCTAGCTATGCAAATTTCCAAACCTGAAGTATGTTCTCTATAAATGACACAACCAAAAATAGCTGCGACAACTTTTACAATCAATTGAATATTTTGAGATCAGTGAAGAATACTTATGTCCAACGACAGGAACTTTCAACTTAAAAGACATAAATATTTGTGACCTCTATAAACATATGGATTCACTTTAAGATAGAATTCTTACCCTGACAACTAATGTGATAACACTCATATTTTCCCTGTCCAGACTATGACCTTCTTTCAGAGATATGACACTACTATTTCCATCAATTTTGAAAACACTGTCTGTAAAAGTAAACATAATTACCAGTAACTTTTAATTATCTCATAATTACATGTTGATCAAAACCATTTTTTGCATTTCTTCATAGGTACAACATGGTACATTCCACTGAGCATTTGGTAAAAACTTAGACTTTTAGAAATCACTACCCAGAGTAGGCAAAAATACCCATCAAATGTGAAATGTCTCTTCTCAACATTTCTTAATCATCTCCCCTTGAAAAAAGGATGTGTCCCTTCAATTTGAAAAAAATTTGAATATCCTTCATCCAAGGATGCTTTGTGTCAAGTTTGGTTGAATTTCAGCTTGGGTAGGTGATTCTTTAGAAGATTAAAAATGTGAGAAGTTCACAGATGACACAAAAGACAGAGGGATGACAAACACTTTTGGAATAGAAAAGCTAACTTTAGCATTTGACTCAGGCGAGGTAACAAACACAAAATTTATACCTGTGAAAAGAATTAGTTCATAATTTATTGTAGCATTGATTCCGACATCTTGATCTCTGGCCTCCAATGCTTTATTCAGCTTTACTTGAGTATTACTTGCAGCCTATAGTAAATAAGAAGGAAATCACAATTTTTATGTGCCTGGATCGATAGATCCAGGGCATATATTGTTTTTGTCCTGTCTGTTTGTTTGTTTGTCTGTCTGTTGTCAACTTTGCCATAACTTCTGAGGTTAATGACCTTGTGACCTTGACTGTGACCTATATGCTAAAAAAAGCTTTTTTGAACTTTCGCAATAACTTTTGAACTAAAGGCTATAGAGACTTCACATTTGGTAAGCATAATACAATAATTAAGTTCTTTCAAATGACATCAAGGTCAATAACTTTGTGACCATGACTGTGCCCCTATATGCTAAAAATAGCTTTTTCACAGTTTTGCCATAACTTTTAAACCATGAGAGATAGAGACTTCATATTTGATATGCATATTACACTTACTAACACCAAGATCATGACCTTTTGACCTTGACTGTGACCTACACTCAAAAAGTAACTTTTTTTAACTTTGTTGCTGCTGGGCACATAGTGTTTCACAAACACATCTTGTAAATTATGTTTTTAAAGAGTTAAGCAACGTACTGTGAATAATTTAAGTTTGTTTGTACTCTAGCTTCTAATTAGTTGATTTCGATAAAGGAACACAAATTATTCTGTATAATCTGGTTTGGTATGGGGACACACAACCTTGACAACAAGCTTAACCATCTCTATCCATCAATCCCCTCATTTCCAGTCCTCGGGATTCATGGAAAATTCCAGATTCAATAGATGTATTTTTAACTTTCAACAGCAGCTTGATCTTACCTCGTGTAAACAAACATCATGCTGCTAAGTCTATGTATCAATTATTACCTGCCCTCACTTCCCATCACTTCCGTTACTATAGTTGTATTATTGAGTGGCAAATTTGAACTCATAAAATGCAACACAATTTTACATCCATGCACAGCTATTTAATAATTTTAAAACTAAATTATAAGGAATGACTAATTCTTTGCCAAATTATTGAGTATAACCTGGTTTACTCTTTTCTATATTCTGCTTTGCAGATTATAAAGCTTAAACTGACCCAAAACAAGTTATACTCGATAATTTGGCCAAGAATTAGAGTTATTCCTTAAATAACTGACACTTTGCAATGAACATTTGTTGTGAAAATAGGGTGGCAGATGAGTATTTACAAAAAGTTAGAGCCAGAAAAACTTGGTTAAGCAAAGTCCTGGAGACCTGTGAATTTAATTCACTAGATCCAAATTTGTTCATTTGGAATTACAAGGATGCATGTTTTCCTTCAAGTATTAATATGGAATATGATAGGGAAGCAATTTATATTACAAAACATACCTTGGATAACTAAGGCTTATTATAAATTGAATTTTACATACAAATATGAGGGTTGTCCAAAAAGTTCGTGGACAATGAAGTTTTTGTTAAAATAAATGGTTCTATATGCATCTATTGTATATCAAAATATTTCTTATGAAAAAGCAAGTCAGAATGATTTAATTTTAATTGATGGAAACCAATATTTTTGTTAAAATCGCGGTCTTTAAAGATCGCAGATCGTGCACAATGACCAGTCTGACGTTAAGCTAATTTCATTATAACGTCAAACATTTGGATTCTGACTTAACACGTGTTCATGGACACACACTTCATTTCTTTTTTAAGGCGCAATGCACTTCCAAGTGTCAGCAAAAATCTTTAAGTAATTAGATTATAATTTATTTAATTTTTAAAATTTAGAACAAAGCACAAAAATTTATGAGCATCATCTAAATAGTTTGTATACACAAATTGCACAGCCTGGAGTCCGAAGCTGCGCTAGATTTATAACAACATCATGTCATCGAAGAGAAATCTCCATTTTCAGTAAATTACATGTGTTTTTATATTCTTGTACTGTCTTCAAATTTGTACACATCGTTGGAAAATCGTATATACCAATCTCAAATCAATACACTACATATATTTCAATAATTTTAGTTGTTTTAACAAATATTGTGACTCTTACGTCGTTTCAACTGTATTAAAACTTATTTTTTTTATCGGACGCTGCCACGTGCGGACGGCCAACGTCGCTTTTTTTGTCGAGTTTTGACACATATTTGTTAAGGTTCTTGTTTAGTATTTGTACTGTCTATATAGTAAGCAATACTTGAGATATCATAAAATGATTACAGCCTCTTCATCTGAGTTACATGAATTTTTGACTTGTTTTATATAGAAAATAATCATTTTAATCCAAACACTTTATATCAGAGTTAATGTCATTTTAACCTTGGTCTATGCGCACTATCTGCAATCTTAAAAGACCCCGATTTTTAAAAATATTTTACGTTCCATCAATAACAAAAGGCCCAAGGGCCACAGCGCTCACCTGAGCACATCAGGCTTGAATTTACTCCCCCCCCCTCCAGGCGTTCATCATTTGAACAAACTAGAATCTACACTACCTGAGGATGATTCCATATATATATCACAAATCATAGCTTTGAAGTACTTGAAAAGAAGATTTTAAAAAGTTTCCCTACATATCCCTATGTAAAACTTGGGTCGGCCAATTTGGCCCCAACCTAGCCCCGGGGGTCATGATTTGAACAAACTTGAATCTACACTACCTGAGGATGATTCCACATGAGTTTCAACTCTCCTGGCCCAGTGGTTCTTGAGAAGAAGATTTTTAAAGATTTTTCCTATATATTCCTAAAACTTGGGTCTGACATTTTGGCCCCACCCTTGCCCCGGGGGTCATGATTTGAACAAACTTGAATCTACACTACCTGAGGATGATTCCACATGAGTTTCATCTCTCCTGGCCCAGTGGTTCTTGAGAAGATTTTTAAAGATTTTTCCTATATATTCCTAAAACTTGGGTCTGACATTTTGGCCCCACCCTTGCCCCGGGGGTCATGATTTGAACAAACTTGAATCTACACTACCTGAGGATGATTCCACATGAGTTTCATCTTTCCTGGTCCAGTGGTTCTGGAGAAGAAGATTTTTAAAGATTTTTCCTATATATTCCTATGTAAAACTTGGGTCGGCCATTTTGGCCCCACCCTAGCCCCGGGGGGTCATGATTTAATGAACAAACTTGAATCTACACTACCTGAGGATGCTTCCACATGAGTTTCATCTTTCCTGGCCCAGCGGTTCTGGAGAAGATTTTTTTAAAATGCCATAAATTTTTCACAAATTCATAATTATCTCCCCTTGGAAGGGGGCGTGGCCCTTCATTAGAACAAACTTGATTCCCCTTCACCCAAGGATACTTTGTGCCAAGTTTGGTTGAAATTGGCCCTGTGGTTCTTGAGAAGAAGATGAAAATGTGAAAAGTTTACGCCGACGACAACAACGACGACGAGAGACAACGGACAAATTTTGATCAGAAAAGCTCACTTGAGCCTTTGGCTCAGGTGAGCTAAAAATTAAATAATTCTGACTTGTTTTTTCATAAATTTTAAAAATATTTTGATATACAATAGATGCATAGAGAACCATTTATTTTCACAAAAATGTGATTGTCTTAGAACTTTTTGGACAGCCCTTGTACTTACTGAATATAAAGTCAGTTCAGTATTTTAAATTTTGAGATATTTGAAAATTCATTATAAAAAATGTAAATCCCATTTCTTTCAGCCTCTACGGGACTCAAAATCAGTTTGCCATATCCTTAAATTCATTATATCAGAGTTCCTTAAAACAGTAAATATTTTACAAAGAATTGCTATATGAATTATGCATGATACCAAGAACAAGAGGCCCATGGGCCACATCGCTCACCTGAGCACAAAGGGTAGGACTAGTATAAAATGGCTTTTTATTGTAAAGTTTAAATCCAAAAGAAGTCCCATGACCAATCATGGATTTGCTATTTTTTAGAAAATGATTGAGAAGAAGATTTTTAAAGAATTTTCCTATATATTTCTATGAAAAACTTTGGTCGGCCATTTTGGCCCCGCCCTTCCCCCGGGGGTCATGATTTGAACAAACTTGAATCTACACTACCTGAACATGCTTCCATATAAATATGATGAATAATGGCTTTGTCATTCTTGAGAAGAAGATTTTTAAAGATTTTTCCTATATATCTCTATGTAAAACTTTGGTCAGCCATTTTGGCCCTGCCCTACCCCCGGGGGTCATGATTTGAACAAACTTGAATCTACACTACCTGAGGATGTTTCCCCATAAGTTTCATCTTTCCTGGCACAGTGGTTCTTGAGAAGAAGATTTTTAAAATATACCACTAATTTTTCATTAATTCCCAATTATCTCCCCTTGAATAAGGGCGTGGCCCTTCATTTGAACAAACGTAAATCCCCTTCACCCAAGGATACTTTGTGGCAAGTTTGGTTGAAATTGGCCCAGCGGTTCTTGAGAAGAAGTCGAAAATGTGAAAAGTTTACAGACAGACGGACAGACAGACGGACGCCGGACAAAATGTGATCAGAAAAGCTCACTTGAGCCTTCGGCTCAG